TGAAAACACGCAATGTGTCGGATTCGATAAATATAAAATTAATTAGAAAAACGAATCGAAGGAACAGCAATCGGCCAGCCAATATATTATAACATTTATATGCAGAATTATGCATTATTGCGATGTAAATTAATGAAATTGAATTATTACATTATAAATTATCGTAACATGAGGTGACAATTTATATTTTCATTCGTGTAATATTGATTCAATTTATTCAATAAAATCGATCATTTCGCTCTCAAGGTTGCAAGGTTGCATTTGCAATGCCTAGTCTAAACAAACTCGAGTTACCGGAGCGTTCGGCCAACAAACCCGAAATCTTTTCCGAAAACCGATTCGGTTATCCGTTATTGTCTGGGATCGAGGTCGGTATCATTGTCCGAAGTCTCCGGTTGATCAATCTTTCGGCCACCGAATAAAGTTTGGCTGTAATCATTGGCACGGGGCTCGAACAATCGAGAGCAGGGCTGGCCGATCCAACGGGACGGGTATTCGGCGTCGTTCGGCAAACTGATCGACCGCAAAACGCGTCGTTCCCGTCGCACAATCGCTTCCGAATTCGAGCTTCCAATCAACGATCTTGCTTGAAACCGACCACCGATACGTCGCTACGATCTTGCCCTTCCTGCACCGGGGCGGTCCCGAGTTCCCAGCGATCTATCCGAGCATCGCAATGTCCAGAAACTGCGACAACTTTCCAGGTAGTTTCCCGCGAAACTGGCAAAGTTTTCGGGCTAACGGAAAATACGCGGATCGTGTTTTTAAATTCCAATGGCCACACGGAACCGGTCCCAACACCCTCCGGTTTGTCTCGCCGATCGAATTCTCGTTCGGTTCGATATGAAACGCGCGGCTATTCGGAGATCAAGGAAACTGGTAAAGTTCCCGGAACGGTCGCGCGAGATTGAAACGGACCGCGCCGGACGGTGGACTTACCGATAACCGTGAAGTTAACCTTGAGATTCCTGGTCGGCGAGTTCCGGAAATCGACTCTGCACCTGTAAACTCCCTCGTCGGTCTGCCGCAGGTCTCGGATCGTCAGCTGCGCGGGCGGGCTCGCTCTGAACGTCGCTCTGTCGCCCCAGAAGGTCGGCGCGCTCCACAACTTCGCCTTGCCGAACTGTCGATTTCTCGCGTCGTAGCTGAAACAGAAACGTGTTGCCAATTATCTACCGTTCGTGGATACTCGATCGATACTTTATTCATCGATGCTGTGACGTCATGTTCTAAGGAGCAGCGGATTCCCCACCACAAAAAATTGCTGTGACGCTAAAAGTTTACTTCCACGAGTTTCCGCGAGAGGCGCTAGTGAAACATCGGTACACACACCGATGCAAATTAGATAATTTAATTTCAACCATAAAAATACTAATACAATATTGTATTATGTATACAAATATATATTTATTTATTATTAAATTATCTAATTTGCCTGCAATTTTTTCGGTTTTTAGATTTCATTCTAGTGTTCAAGATTCTCTTTAAGCAGAGGTCAATAACCGGTATAATTTTCTTTACTATATTTATTATATATTTGTTCAAAAATTGAGATGGCTGAGATTTCTGTAAAATAAGCTTGGCATCTTTAATTCCCCATACGTCAACGGAATACCGAAACAATATCGGTATTCATTTCAAATTTCGCTATTATACATGTAAGTTTCGGTATAGCTTTGCTGGAACAATGCCGATATGAACTGCCTGGAAGAGAAACGATAATACCGGTATAAAGATAGATGAAAACGGGGTTGTATTAATTCCAAAATCGTTCGAATTTCTTGCTCAAACTGTCTCGTTAGTATCGAGCTGCTGTTACGAAAGGTCGAGACGATCGTTGTAAATCGTACTTACGAGATACGCGGCGATCATTTCGAACGAAAATGGAGCATCTTCGACGGGATAGATTGCTCGTTCACCGTTCGACGGGTCGACGTTTGAAATAAATTGGCACGCGTACGCGTGGATCACGGACAGTGGATCCTCGAGAACTCAAAGATGAGACGTCGTCGGAGCAAGTGTAATCGCGCACTCGCCGTCAGACGCATCGCATCGGCCAACGAGAGCGCGCCACTTGGCATTTCCGCTTAACCGTGCAGGATCGTTGACACGAATACAAACGCATCGCCGGGTCTAACCCTTAACCCCTTAAACGCGCGCGACGTGATATTACGCCCGGCCGTGCTATATACTGCGAGCCTCTCTCTCTCTCTCTCTCTCTCTCTCTCTCTCTCTCTCTCTCTGTCTCTCTCCCGACTTTGGTCTCACCTGCGTCTCCTTCGTCCCTTCTCCTTCCCGTTCTATCTCAGATCCGTCTACTTCGTTCTCGTCGTCTCACGGTGTCGCGTTTCCATCGAGAAGTTGATTAAAAGTCAAAATTCGATACCTGTTCAAGCTGTTTCTACCTTGCGTTCCGCAGTATAGACGTATTCGTTGGACTAGAGTAAGTGTGTCAATTAATTATTGTGACCATTGGAGTGACGTCTGTGATGTCAAATAGCTTCTGGCTTTGCCTACAACGCGCTACTTTTATATCAGTATGAATTGTTTAATAATTAAAATGTACGTATAAAGAACGCACAATATTTATCATTAAGAAATAATAAAGATATAAGTGGGAAGTTGATTGTATCATTGTTTCTTTTTAAATGAGGAACTAACAAACCAGATAAAATGATCGATTTCGGAGTTTTTCATTTACTGTTACTGATATGCAAGTCAATGTGTGTACGAGAAAGTTGACGATCTTCTTAATTAAAGCGCACAGTCAAAGAATCGAGATCATCTTGTAAGGATGCAACGTGCCGCGAGAATAGCGATTAAGAAACATACAATCGCATACATGATCCAGAGACGAGCACGTAAAACGATCTGGCAGCTCTTCTTCCAAGGTTTAGCGAACTAAAACATTTCCGGCCATGTGTTCGATGCAAACATTCTATCACCCGACGGATCCATGTACACATATGTACGTTTCTTCCGTGACAGGCCTTGGACGATCGCAGGATCCAATTCCTGTTTCCCGCTTGCTCGATCCTCCTCCTTTTTTCTTCATTTCCGGTGCCTTTCATCGCGCGAAACTTTCTGCTGACCACGACTTTCCGAAGAGCACCAGCGGGGTAACCGTTCTAATCCGATTGAGTCTTCCGCTCGGTTGGCAGGACGAAACTCTCGCGAGCCGATCGAGCGCTGGTACCAGACGATCGGGTGGTCACTCACGCCTCCAAACCACGCCTTCATCGTTCTCTGCGTTTCACCTACGATTCCTCTGCGATTTCTCTGGGCCTTCTCTGCGATTCCTCTGCGTTTCGTCTGCGTTTCGTCTGCGTTTCGTCTGCGATTCCTTTTCGATTCCTCTGCGATTCTTCTGCGATTCCTCTGCGCTTAATTTGCAATTCCTCTGCGATTCCTCTGCGATTCCACTGCGATCTCTCTCGGACTTCTTTGCGATTCCTCTTTAATTGCTCTGGGACTTTTCTGCAATTCGTCTGCGATTCCTCTGTAATTGCTTTGGGACTTTTCTGCGATTCCACTGCGATTTCTCTGGGATTCCTCTGGGATTCTACTGCAATTGTTCTAAGACTTTTCTGCGATTCCACTGCGATTTCTCTGGGATTCCTCTGGGATTCTACTGCAATTGTTCTAAGACTTTTCTGCGATTCCACTGCGATTTCTCTAGGTCTCCTCTGCGACTCGTCTGCGATTGCTCTCTAATTGCTTTGGGACTTCTCTGCGATTCCACTGCGATTTCTCTGGGACTCCTCTGCGATTCCTCTACGATTTCTATGCAATTTTTCTGGGACTCCGCGAATCCGATGCAATTGCTCTGCATTTCCTCTGCGATTTCTCTGCGATTTCTCTGGGACTTCTCTGCGATTCCTCGGGGACTCCTCTGGGACTCCTCTGCGCTTAATTTGCAATTCCTCTGCGATTCCTCTGCGATTCCTCTGCGATTCTCCTATGATTCCACTGCGATCTCTCTGGGACTTCTTTGCGATTCCTCTTTAATTGCTCTGGGACTTTTCTGCAATTCGTCTGCGATTCCTCTGTAATTGCTTTGGGACTTTTCTGCGATTCCACTGCGATTTCTCTGGGATTCCTCTGGGATTCTACTGCAATTGTTCTAAGACTTTTCTGCGATTCCACTGCGATTTCTCTGGGTCTCCTCTGCGACTCGTCTGCGATTGCTCTCTAATTGCTTTGGGACTTCTCTGCGATTCCACTGCGATTTCTCTGGGACTCGTCTGCGATTCCTCTACGATTCCTATGCAATTTTTCTGGGACTTCGCGATGCAATAGCTCTGCATTTCCTCTGCGATTTCTCTGCGATTCCTCTGGGACTCCTCTGGGACTCCTCTGCGATTCTTCTGTGCTTCCATTGCGTTTCCTCTACGATTCCTCTGCAATTGCTCTGTGTTTTCTTTGCGATTCCGATGCATTTCCTCCACGAGTCCTCTGCAACTCCTCTTAGGTGAGACGATACGATACGATACGATACGATACGAGACGAAACAAGGCGCGGCGAGCAAAGACATCCCGAATTATGATGACGAATCGTTTCGATTCGTCTCCTCGCGTTTAACGCGTAATTAGAGGACACAGAGCGGGTTCGCCGAGAGTACTTGTGCGACCCGGGACCCGCGGTCGTGTAATCGAGCGTGCACGTACACAGCCGGAGACAGCCCGAAACGGAGCAAAGATCATCAAACTCGCATACAAACTTTAATTGCTTCGCCCGATGAATCGCTGGATTGTGCGGTAAACTTGCAGAGTACCGACGTGCACCTGCGAACCGTTTCCAAGGACTCGTTTCGTCCGACGGAAACACCAATCGCGCTGACGTCAGACGTTAACCTGACGACGAACCTCGTCGGTGCACCACACGATCGCTGTCCACCTACAGTCCGATCTCTCGCTCTCTCTTTTTCTTCTGAGCAAGCGATGCACGCACAAAATTCGTTTCGGCACACGATTTTGTACGATATAAGAAACTACACACAATTGCATTTCAAATATTGAATGTCGTCATCATTCCTGATCAAATAATGTAGATAAAAAATACTGCGAGCAGACTTGTACAGAATTACAGTTGAATTACTCAAGGAATTATAACTACAATGTAATTTAATTACATCGTAATTCGTAATTCAGGCGCCAGTAATTCATTGTAATTCCTCGATTCAATTAAATCACAATGTAATTCAATAGGGGTACAATTACGAAATACTATTGTAGGTAATTCAATTACATTAATGAAGAATTTCGATGTGACTGAATCGAAAGTACGAATTAAAAAATAAACGGAAGGATATTATTTTTTCGTCCGCTAGCTATAGCTACTCTCATAAATAACGAATTACAAATTAAATTAATGTTTCATCTGCAAACAATAATCGAAGTTTATGTTCAATTAAAACATGATTTAATTGAAGAACATAAAAATGTATCCCACTTCTTCGAAGTTCTCGTTATGTCAAGGCTTCTGTCAACGTAATTTGAAGAACTGTGTATCAATAATAATATATTTTAATTATATTATATTTCAATTATATTATATTTCAATCACATTTTATTTCAATTACATTACATTTCAATCACATAGTGATTAAAAGAATTAGTAATTGAATTGAACTGGAAGGTTCGATTTACATAATGAAATTACAATGTAATATAATATATAATAAAATGTAGTTAAATTACGTAATTGAATTACAATCTTATCGAATTAGCGCTACTCTGTTTGAGAGCGACATCCACCCAGCCGCGACTCGGGAGCCAATAATTTTGTCCGAGTGATTTCGAATGCGATTCTTCGGTTCGTTTCTTGTCGGAGCGATTCGTGGTGCAAGTTTTCGGCTCGGCGTCGATCAATTATGCGAGGTGGGTGGACGGGGGGAGGAGGGGTGCGATTCGAAGCATCTAATCGAGCGACGAAGTTCGGCCGAGTTGCCGCGATAAGACGTCCGATGGTCGATCAACGGGGCGTCCCGTTTCGCCTCGTTCCGTCCCGTTTCGTCGGACGTCGCGGCGACGTCCGCGGCAACTTTTCAACGGGGTCTTATTCGGGCGCGCAGTTCGTCCGCGGTCGTAAGACAAATTGGATCGGTTTTTAACGAGCACGATGACTCGAGAGAGTTTTCCGAGA